CATGGTGTATAGTATACATGGTGTATAGTATACATGGTGTATAGTATACATGGTGTATAGTATACATGGTGTATAGTATATATGGTGTATAGTATATATGGTGTATAGTATACATGGTGTATAGTATACATGGTGTATAGTATATATGGTGTATAGTATTTATGTTGTATAGTATATATGGTGTATAGTGTTTACAGTACTGACCCTGTATGTGAAGTACGAATGCAGCACAGTTTCAGGAGTTGGCCCAGTTGTTCTGTTTTCTGTTCTGTTGTTGTCGTCATGTTTTATACAGTCGTCATTTTTTGATACTGAGGCATAACAAAATACCTTCATACCGCCCAAGCCTAGTYGGAAGTCATAACGCAGTATGAACTGAAGACAGGACACAATCTAGACGACGTTTGAGGGTAAGCTAATGCTAATCAGATAGTGAGCTATACAAATGAAGCAGAGCGTTAAGTATAATGGCGATTAAATAAGGTTTAGTATTAAATATGTTGTGTGTGTTTCACATGAATCTCCTGCAAAATAAGTGCTACAAAATCTATTCAATTCAGTTTATTTATATAGTGTCAAGTCATAACAACTGTTTGTCTCAGGGCACTGTACATGAAAAAAAAACAATAAATGTAAAGAAGCTAGCAGACTGAACAATCTGCATCTACAGTCTGGACGTGTGGGATTATTGTTTGGATTATTGTTCCTGGATTTACAAACACGCAGTGGTTGCAGAACTTCAAGATGTTGGATAATAAAGATGTTTTTTAAAATGTCTTGACTTTTGTTATTTACAGATGATACAATATCACAAGGTGTAAGTTAAAAGTGTAAAATAAATATCACAGTGCTGTCATCACAGAAACTCAGCTTCTGCAGCTGTAGATCTGAAAACATTCAGTTTAACTTTGGTCTTAAATCATAAGTTCTTTTTTTGCTGAATTCCTAACAGTCAGTATATTTTGGGTCCCCATGAATCTTTGCAAGTTGTAATACTGTATATTTTCAGTGGCATGACTTTGGTAAGTACAATTATGAACTATTAAGCTATTGTTTATCGGACTCTACCAGTGACTCCACTCCCTAACCAACCAGTGACTCCACCCTCTAACCAACCAGTGACTCAAACTCTCTAACCAACCAGTGACTCCACCCTCTAACCAACCAGTGACTCCACCCTCTAACCAACCAGTGACTCAAACTCTCTAACCAACCAGTGACTCCACCCTCTAAC